GTGGTGAGAGAACATCTTAGACTCCAGGAGGTATGGGGGAAAAAGGGACATTAATGATCTTTTTGCCCTTCAAAACCAGCCCTAGCACCTTCCTCGGGTAGGAAAACGCTCTGATGCAGCTCTCCTCAACTGTTACAACAACTTTAAATTGACTGCTGGTTCTGTCATCTCCTGCTAGGTGGCTCTGACCACAATTTGATCATCATCCCCTTAATTCTACCAAAAAGTCTTTTGGAAACAGCAGGGGATGGCCAAGCTTCTGCATGTCCCATGCAAAACACCAGATGTTTGTCCCACTACCATTCCCAAAGGTGAGGCTCAGTTCATGAGCTGGATGATTGCCACTCAGCTGGCACTCAGGTGCTCACGACAAACAGGACAGACTGAACTGCCCGCAGACAGTCCCTCCAAAAACAAAGACTAGGCTCAATCACTCTAACTGAACTGGGAAAGGGGGAGGCCACATTGGAGGCAATGTCAACCTGTGCCACTGACTGATGAAGGTCTCACTTTGCAAACACAAACAATTGTAAACAATAATTTCTCTCCAAAGCACCTACGTGCCCCTGGGACTGTACTTCTTATGTGGAAGCCAGGTACTTCCTTCCCTCCTAAAATATGATGACTTGCACAGTGGGCAGAAGAGACCACCCAGTGTTTAAGGAAATACCACTGGTAGATCAGTTTAGTTCTCAGATGACTGTAGAGATCTCTCCAAAACAAGGCTACACTTGGTTACTTGGGGGAGCATCCTAAAGCAATAACTAATTTGCTATTTATCTGTGTCCTATGCGCAGTTCTCCCCACAATGGGAGTCACCCATACAAAAAGGTGGTACAAAACTTGTACCCAACTTAAGCCGATGTGATCAATGACACCACTTGGGCTCTGGAAGGCACTCATATCAGCCTCAAATCACTGGCCATGGTTATCATGGAAGATAGATTTACCCTTGACTTCCTCCCTGTGGGCCAATGCAGAGACTGTGCAACTGCTACAGCATTTTGCAATACTTAGATTAATGCTTAGGGCTAAGTGGAAAAGTCAGTACAGAAACTAAAGGATAAAGCCACCTGGCTTTCTATGGATTTGTTCACTGGTGGAGTTCCGCACCTTAGGAGAGTGGGTGTGTGGTTAAGCTCAGCACTGTAGGGTGGCCATATCCTGCTGCTTGGAGTTCTGTTGATAGTTGCCTTAATTAAATCCAGTGTGAGAAAAACTGAACAGATTAGGTCCCAGTCCCTATCACTCAGAGTAATCAGAGTGGTCACACAGTGTGGGAACACTCGTGGGAAAACTCACTAGAAGCTAAAATAATATAGAAACAAGGATATTGTTTCTCCATGGAGCTCTCCATGGATTGCTCATGCTTCTGCGTTGCTTGTACACAAAGACACCGATCGTCTTTTGTTCTGGACTATCTCTTCAAGGTTGTTCGTATAGCAAATAGCCTTCAAAGACTGTCTTCCTCCTGACTGGAGGATAGGTTCATTTATTGTCCAGTATAATAAAGATAATGGCCCCTCTGGGGCAAAGGTCAGGCAGGTTTGCTTGTAGCTTATTAAAAAAGATTTGGGTTTCCTAAAGCTCAGCGTTCCTCAACAGTGATGCAAACCACTGTGAGCACAGCACACACCTAGGCCACAGTGTCACCCTTGCGGAACCTGGCATAGGAAGAAAAACTGATATGAACATGAAGCTCATGCTGCTTCTTACGCTGTGAGAGAAATAAAGTCCTTTCTCACAGACTCAGGAGTCTCATATCCTCTGCCAGGATCCCTAAAACCGTGGCAGGCCAACTTATTAGCTTACAAATAGGATAAAATCTCAGACCTTTCACAGTTCTTGACAATAACTCAATTTTAAAAATGGGCAAAAGATCTGGACAGACACTTCACCAAAAAAGATAAACAGACGGCAAAAAAAGCTCATGAAAAAATTTTCAACATTATTAGTCATTATGGAAATGCAAATTAAAACCTTTATATACCTACCAGCATGGCTAAAATGAAAAAGCCTGATCATACCAAGTACTAGCTAGGCTGTGGAGCAGTTGGGACTCTCATATACTGCAGGTTGGAATGTAAAATGGCACACCACCTTGGAAAACAGTTTGGCAGTTTCTTAAAAAAATTAAACACATCTACCATACAACCCAAGTATTCCATTACTAGGTATTTACTGAGAGAAATGAAACCACATGTCCAAAGACCTGTATACAAATATTCACAGCCATTTGATTTGAAATAGCCAAAAACTGGAAACAACCTAAACGTCCATCAACAGATGGTATCCATACAATGGAATACTACTCAGCAATCAAAAGGAATGAAGTAGTAATACCTACCAACACCAATCTCTAAAACACAATGCTAAGTGAAAAAAGTCAAACACAAAATACTACACGTTGTAGGAGTCCATTTATAAGACACTCTAAATAACATAAAACTACGGTGATAAAAATCAGATCAGTGGTTGCCTGAGGCTGGGGATCAGGGTTGAGAGAGTCATGAGAAAACTTAGGGTGATGGGAATGTTCCTGTGTCTTGATTGTGGTAGTGGTTACACCATTGTATACAATTACCAAAATTCAAACTCTACACTAAAATGGGTGAATTGTATTATATGTAAATTACACCTCAATAGGCTGGGGAGGAAAAATCTATAAGGCAATTGTTCTTTCCTAACAAATAACAGGAATCTTCTCACAGTTTTAAATAAACAATGCAATTCCAGCAAAGCAAAATAAATTCCAAGTATTTTTTCAGTGTCAATCAAATACACTATATTCCAAAAGGACCTGCATACTGCAAATGTGAGAAAAGCACCTTATTCACCTTAAGATAGTTATAGAATAATCTTCTCAATACAGTTACCTTAACCAGTCAATTTAAATTTTTATTCATAAATTGTATTATCATAAATAGCCAACATGTAATACTGCTGTCTTGTTTTCAGAGAACTCTTCAGAGTATACTGTCTGTCTGACTGGTTCGAGAAATAATTCAACATGTTACTGTATGTATACTGAAAAGCACTGATGGTTGTAATTACTACAAGGATCCTAGCCTTATCATAATAAATATAAAAGATTCTTAAAAGATTTTATTTTTCCCTTTTCTCCCCAAAGCCCCCTGGTACATAGTTGTATATTTTCAGTTGTGCGCCCTTCTAGTTGTGGCATGTGGGATGCCACCTCAGCATGGCTTGATGAGCAGTGCCATGTCCACACCCAGGATCCGAACCAGCGAAACACTGGGCCGCCAAAGCAGAGCTCGTGAACTTAATCACTTGGCCGGGGGCCAGCCCCTAAAAGATTCTAAATAGGCCTGGGAAAGCAGCTGTGCCCACTTGTTCTCACCTTCATCTCCCAATGACCATACACAAGAACTCAATTAAATGCCTCTCAAATTCAACCTACGCCACTGTCATGGAATATGTTCTACTGTTCCGTTGCCAAGGATTTTCCTCATAGTGAGATACTACCAGCAAAGAACCTCACAGACAGAACATTTTTTCAGAAGGTTCTCATGCAGGATTTAACCACAAATCTGATAATGCCCCATCCATATATATTTCCCTTAGTCTACCTCCATTTTGGAGAAGGTATGACCCAATCAGGTATAAATCCTCAACAAACCTCTATTTTGCTACCCATGTCTCCTCTCTCGGCAGGACAGCACTGATCTGGTTTTAACTGGCATGCACCCATCCATCCATTCACAAATGCCTACTGCACTTCTACGTGCCCGGCACCAGGCATCAAATAATATAAACACACCAAGTTCTTGTCAGAAAAGTTTAATCTTGAACTCTGTCACCAACCTAATTAAAAGCTCATTAGGAGAAATGTATTTATGGATGATTACAGTTCAATTAGTTCTTAGAGTTATTCTAAATTATATCTTTTGACTGAACCACACCAGTAAGTTGGATTAAATCATTCTGTCCCATGTGAAAATGATTTTACCAAATGGTACTTCAGTTTTATGACAATGACCTACATTGAGGATCACAAGAAACAGAGGCAGGAAATAATAATAATAGCAGTTCACATTTACAGTCCTCCGTGCCAGACATAAGCTAAGCACTCTACATACATTCATTCATTTAACCCTCACAAATAATCCTACACACAAGAGTACATTATCCTCATTTGACAGATAAGGAAACTGAGCTGCTGACAGGAGGTTGAGTAACTTCACTAATGCCACACAGTGGTAGAGCTGCGTTATTACCCAGGCAGCCTGACTCCAGAGTTCTTGTTCTTAGTCACTATATTACACTTTATTACATTGCCACTATTCATGATGTAAGATGTTGACATCTTCACTCACTACATCATTTAATGCTTTTTTAAATACCTTCTTTGAGAAATTTTATGTTTTAACTGCATAGGAATGGCTCCTAAGTAATTGATTTGTTCTCATCTTATAACCATGAATAATGTAACTGAGTATTCTTTTTCCTTTTTCTTTGCACTTGGTGCTTCAGAACTCAGAGCAAGATTTAGCCCATCTAGTATGTATATAGAATTAAATGGAATGCATTTTGGCTACCATATTTCTAATTTCACTATCACCCCTACCTGGCCTATTAATTTTATCTTCATCAATTTCCTCACATTTCTAAGTAGTACTATGTTAATCTTTCTAAGCCAAGCCCTTTTCACAGTAAGGCATGGTACAAATAATTAACAATTTGAACCCAAGAAAACAGGTTACAGGGACCCAGAGAACTCCTTAAAAGTTGCCTAGTCCTCCTTATTTCATTATATACAAAAGATGCTATTTTAGTAAATCTTAACAGTTTTTACATAAGGACAAGAAATCAAGTGTGAGGGAAAGAACAATCGATACCCAGAAGAATTTTACAGATCCTTAAATAGTCTTAATATCAAAACATCAGTTCTTTAGGGCATGACACACAAATTCTTGACTAACAGAGTGAACATGACGGAATATAACTATCTGCGCCTCATTAAAGGAATAAGTGATTACCTGACTTCAAGGGCTTTGATAGCTTCTAGCATCTGTAGAAACTCTGCTGCTTTCCATACATCATTAGCTTCTTCTTCTCCTTGTATCATTAATTTTGCTGTATATGTGAACTCAATTAAATGACGAAAGGCCATTTTACTGACACCTGTAAAAAAGATGTGCATTAGCATGTATTAACGTTGATTTAAATCTTATAACATTTAGTAAAGAAAAAGAAGCCCAGTGTTTGGAATTTGATTAGTATTTGTCATTTCTGAAGATTATTTCCTGGCAGAATTCTCATTAAGAGTAAAGTAACATTGTAGCCAAGTTCCAGCAATAACTAGCAAAAATACTTTAAGATCTTCCCTAAAGATTTCTTCAGGCTCTTACAGAGCAGTAAAATCTATCGCTAAAATACATGAGCTGGCTAACCACTACACGTCAGATATGCTATGTCTCCCCCCAGGGTGCTCTGCGTCAGCTCAGTTCCAAAATCTTCAATGGCTTCCCATAGCTTAGCAAATAAAGTTCAGTATCACTCTGCCTTTATTTCAAGGTCCTTCACATTATTTTCCTACTTACCACTTCCAAATTTTAAACTATATTAAACTAATTTTCCCTTCCAAATTTTGAACTATATCAAACCCACGCTACATACTAATCTTCAAATAAACCTTTCATTTTCTAAGATCTTCCTTGCCTTAGATTACTTTGTCTCTGACTGTACAAATCCTACCACCCTTGAAGGCCTAATTCTAATGCCACATCTTTAATCCTTCCCCCAGGCTGAACTGTGTACCTGTTGTGGTAACAATTCACGGACACCTCTTGACTGTAAGTTACTTGACAGAAGTTATTTTGTCTCTGTTCACTCACCTCACAGTACATGACACAATGTTTCCTAAAATCCAGGCACACGAAGTAGGAATAAATCAATAAAGGCTAAAGTCACTTCCAAAAGTAAGTTTCCATGATTCTAACCTTTCAAGTCTTGTGTTTAAATTTTGGCCCAAAACGATACTCTTCTTTCTTTGTGCCCTTCAATGCTGTATATTATTGTTTCAGTCTGTTAACGTAAGGCTACAAAAAACTATTGATGAGAACAAAGAGAAAAATATCTTTTTTTTTTTTCTTTTTTGGTGAGGAAAATTGGCCCTAAGCTAACATCTGTGCCAATCTTCCTCTATTTTATGTGGGATGCTGCCACAGTGTGGCTTGACAAGCAGTGCTAGGTCCGCGCCCAGGATCCAAACCTATGAACCCCAGGCCACCAAAGCAGAGCATGCGAACTTAACCACTGTGCCACCAGGCTGGCTGCAAGAAAAATACTTTTAACACAAATTTTTAATGCTAAGAAATGACCAAGTCCAAACTGCACACAATATGCACAACTGCAAATACAAAAATATTTTTATGTTATTCTCACTTTACACACCTGAATGTGGCATTTCAGACACCAGTAAGAATACTGATGGAATATCCACCATCCTCGGTTTGTGGAAAAAAAGATATTCAGCAAGTCAGAACTTTCAAGTTTTAGTCCCAGCTTTCCATGACCTATTTGATTGTGGGCAAATCGGAACCATTGAGCCTCAGTAGACCCATCTTCAAAATGTCTGAAAATAATCTGAATATTGAGAAATACCACAAAATATAACGCGATATGATCAAATTACACGCTACCAAACAAGCAAACTAAAAATAATTGGATGCACTGAAGGCTAATTTTATTTGGGTCCCCTAAATCTTTTTTCTCCTGGTTGTCTTTTGAGCACATTATTCTTTATTATACAAGTAGTCTGAGGGACAGAAAACTAGATTTCGCTGTTTGCTTTTTTTTTTTAAGAAGTTTTGACCAAAAGTTTAAAAGTACAAAAGTCCTTTCTAAAAACAATGAGTAAATTTTTCCTGAAGTGGAATGAGATGTTAATTTTTAATCAAACACACCTATATAAAGCTTAGTATATGTATCAGACACAACTCTAAAACATTTTCCAGTTACTTAACTCATTTAATCCTAACAACTCTATGACGTACTATTATAATCCCCATTTTACAGATGAGGAAATTGAGACAGAGATGTTAAATAACTTGTCAAAGTCACACAGTTATTAAATGATAACTGTGTCCAACTCAGGGTCCAACTCAGATGGCCCAACTCCAAAGTCCACGATAAAGACTTTTAAATAAGATGATGGCAGGAAAGAGTTTGAATACTCATGGTCTCTCATTCACGACAGGCCCATACTCTTTTATTTAGAATTCCAAAGTCCCTCAAATCTCTTAAAACCAGAAGTTTTCCCATAAATTTGGCAGCAAAATTTGACGTGAACTGACATGAGACTATTTTAGTCCTCATACTACTCACAGTAAATATTAATATGCTATGCTGCCGAAATATTATTTGGTTACAGGATGTTGCCCTAGACTCCACAGGGAGTATTATCTAATATACATACTGCATTATCTTTAGAAAATTCTAAAAATTCGTAATTTCAAGAAACAGCTGGCCTCCAAGGATTTGAATAAGGAATTGTGCGGACTTAGTTCCCAGACTTGGTTCATCAGAATCACCTGTGGACATAATAAAAGCATGGGTCCCCAATCTCTAGAATCAAAACTAGGACAGGGAACTGTTTTTATAAGCACCTAGGTGCTTCTTATGTGGCCAGTCCAACACTGGTCCTAGGAATAAACCAGTGACCCAACTAATTAGCTTACATGAACCAAATCGATAGCACCTGTCGAGGTAAGGAAAGTGGTGTTAGATGTACAGTTGCAAAAATATTTTATTCTCTATCAGGATTAGTTTGGTAACTTTGAAATCTCAGCCATTTTCACATCAAGCCCTTACTCCTTTCATAATGGAAGCGTGCAGGAGAATACAATTTTTCTAGGCAAGTATCTAAGCAAAATGTTAATAAGAACATTTTATCCTGAGTCATCTTTTTTCTTAGGAAGAAGCAAAAGGGGGCAGCATTCTGGAATTTCTCTAGTCTTAGGAAATTGCCCCAATTGGTGGAAAACTCCTACTCAAAAAGAATGTATGAACGTGTACTTGGATGTTTTGTCCTTGATAGTAGGAGCTAAAATTTTGGACATGATGGTAGAGATGCTATTAGAGAGAAACTATGTGTTTATGGATCTGTGGTTTCAGGAGGAGTAGAGAAGGAATGGATTTAGAAAATTGGAGGTTCAGGTTATAAGGCGGCTGTGTGTTCTGAACAAGAGAATGAATGTGCGTTGAAGATTTTATGTGGTGTGAATCCAAGTCACAAAGCTGAGCTAGGATGCAGCTGGCTTTACAAACAATTTTGATTTGAAGCCAAAGGTGAACCTGTGGTTCTAATCAAAGGTAACTTACTTCACCAGGGACCTAGAAAACAGGGAAGAGCTTAGCTTGCATCCAATGACAGCTTATAGTCACAGAGCATATTACAACTTACATTTATTTTAAATACTTGTCATGTGCTTTTACAAAATACTATAAGGCAGTGGTTCTCAAAACTGGCTGGATATTGGAATTGTCCTAGCGCAGTGCTGCCCCAACTTTGCTACACACGGGAGTCATCTGAGGATCTTGTTCTGGTTCAGCAGGCCTAGGGTGGAGCCTGAGAGTCTACATTTCTAACAAGCTCCCAGGTGATGCCCCTGCTTCACTGGTCCTCAGATCACACCTTGAACAACAAGGACCTAGAGAATTTTCAAACACAGATGCTTGGATCCCACCCCCTAAATACTGATTTAATTGATCTGGAGACACAGCCTGGGCACTGGTACTTGTAAAAGCTCCCCTGGTGTTTCTAATGTGCAGCTAAGGATGAGGACCATCGCTACAGGTCATTATTCATATTTTACAGATGGGATTCCAGACTAGCTAAGATGGAGAAAGCCTACTCCACCCTATCTTGTTCACTGATTACAACTAAAAATCCTGCACAGAATACATAAAGCTAATATACAAGGACTCTGAAAAAATAAATAAAAGCAAGCAGACTGGGGAGAGAAGTCAAAAACAGCAGTGAGTTTTCTGGTTTTAATTTTTCCTCCCACATATCCCAGCTTAGACTTGAGGACAGCCCAAATCCCATAACTGTATAGCAGGTGCAGACAGAAAACGCTCCAAGACAAACTCTTTCTGGCTAGAGAACCAGGAAAAGGGATGGAACGGCGGGGGGGGGTGGGGGGGGGAGTGTGAAGGAAAATTGTTTTTATTCCTCTCTCTCAGCCCTGCCTCACGGCTAGCCCCAGTTCTGATGCTGCATAACTAAACTCTAGGAGAAAGTAGTTCTCCCTGACAGAGAACTAGGAAAGAAAGTATGATCTGAAGAGCCTGGAGAGAAAGAATTCTAATTTTTTTTCCCTTTTCTCTCACCTCTTTGTCCATGAAATGGATCACACTGTGGGAAGTATATGACAGCACAAGGAGGCTAAAACCCTAGTTTTCTAGCCAGAGGACCAGGAAAAGGAGCCCCTGGCAGGTAACATGCAAAGGAAATCAGAAGAGGGAGCTGGAGAAAGATCCTCCAAATCTGTGTATGCAGTCTTGAGCTAAGCGTCGAGCTGCACACGTGTGGAACTGACCTGAGGCAGCACAGTGAAGGCTCTAAGAACCGCACTATGGCCCGGACTACCACCCAGGTCAGCACACCTAGGACCTAAACAACACAACAAAGGTTTGGAAAACTAAATTGGAATTGGATCCACAGCCCACATAAGGCAGTCTGAACCTAACCAGGTTGATTGCCTGCTAAACAAAACAAATCAAAATCAAAACAAAAGCATTCTCCAGAGGAAATTAACAGCATGCAGAATGTGATAATGTTCAAAATGTCCATGCCATAATCCAAAATTACTTGACATATTTTACAGATTAAAAAAAGGAAGCCAGGGCCGGCCCAGTGGCGCAGCGGTTAAGTTCACACCTTCCGCTTCTCGGTGGCCCAGGGTTCACCGGTGCAGATCCCTGGTGCGGACATGGTACCGCTTGGCACGCCATGCTATAGTAGGTATCCCACATATAAAGCAGAGAAAGATGGGCATGGATGTTAGATCAGGGCCAGGCTTCCTCAGCAAAAAGAGGAGGACTGGCAGAAGTTAGCTCATGGCTAATCTTCCTCAAAAAAAAACCACAAAAAACAAAAAAAGGAAGCCAAGATGCCCAAGGTTACACAACTGACAAACAGTAGAGCCAAGACTACAACTCAGGTTTTCTAATCACATGCCCAGGGTTTTTCTACAGCCAGGTGACCCGGCCAGACAGTACAGGAAACCCAAAGACAATCCCAAAGTTGAGGGCCTAAGACGACATTGAGCCAGATTGATTCTTTAAACGTGAATCTGCCAAACAACAAAAACAGTGTCCTTACATTTTACTTTCTTATCTGTCTATGGTTTAAATACTGCAGGCTTGTGTGTGCTGTACTACAATGTACATGGCATGTTAGAGATACTGAGAGGTACAAGACACAATCCCCAGGTCATTAGTCTCCAGAAGAGAAGACTCTACTTCTCCAGGTAGTTTAGTACTCCTTGCTCCACCGCAATGCATAGCCTAGCCTGGGCCGCTTATTTTTGACTATTTAAGATTCTGCTCAGAAGTCAACTCCTCTTTGAAATCTTTCCTCTCTCTCTAAGGTAGACTAAGCCACTCATACTCCCTCCTCAGTGACACCATTCCACAATAAAAGTCCCTGCAACACTTTTGTTCACTCACTTCTTTACTTGTTGCTTATGCATGATTAAATCTGCAAATTCTCTAAGGGCTGTCTTATTCATCAACTCTTCATTTCCTGGGTCTAGCACAGTATATAATATATAATAGGTATACAGCTTGATAAATAGCACCAATTTATTAAGCTTTGACAACGCACCAAACACTGCCAAGCAATCTGCATATGTTATTTCAATTAAGCACTACAAGCCTATAAACCCACTTTTCAGATGAGGAGGCAAATACACAATTAAGGTAAAGTAACCTGCCTGGGATCACACAGTACCTCAGGTGAATAAATGAATGAAATCTTGCCTTGTAACAGAAACCAATACCATCTAAGCAGCTAGACTCTCACTTTAGTAAGCTTTGTGCATTTCCATTATGTCTGTGCTCTATCACAGATACTCAAAAGATAAACTATCTATGGATGTAGCTAGAATGAGAGATAAACTGAAATGAACCCAAAAAAGGATGTTCTTAACTCTTTATGTTTTCTTTACTCCCCAAGGCACCAAATTTTTCCAAGGGAATAGTGTTTCCAGGCAACCCATTCATAACAGAGAATATATACACAGTTAAAGAGACACAAAACCAAAACTCAAGAACCCTGAAAGGAGCTAAAATTCTCTATTTATGTGGGCAAGCTGACTTATTTTCTACAGTTTTGGATGGGAATGCTGGATATTGTAGTAGCAGAAGACAAAAGCATGGTAACTAATAGCACAAACTAAATCTCCTGCTAGCTGGGCAACCGTGGACAAGTTACCTTTTGGGGTCTGTTTGTTCCCTGACGTATAGACTGGAAATAATACCACTTACTTTAAACGACTGCTATAAACCTCAGAAAATGCACATAAACTATACAGAGCACAATACCTGGCACTTGGTGGGCGATTATTACAGAAGTCAAGCAAGTACAGAAATCACTTTCTACTTTAAGGCAACATCTACTGGATGACCCCTTCCATCCCAGACCTTCTATAGCCACTAGAACTTCTTCTGAATGCTACTTAAGTCCATCTGTCCTAGCCTTTTCCATATTATGGCAGCCCACTTCACACTGTGCACATCATCTGTACCTCTGCTGGAACAGATGCCTCTACTGTAACCTGCAGCATTCCGGCCAGTCTGAACCCTAAGCCCACTGAACAAAGATGGGAATTCACTTTTAATACATGTTTTCAAGAGACAGTGACCACTGGTTTTAGCAGTGGAAAAGACTCCTTTAAGAGACCAACATCTACCATCTAAAGTAAGAGTTTTTCCTGGCAGATCATTTTACCAAGCACTTTACTAAAAGTAAGAATTCTCAGGTGTCAAAAGAACAATTTATCAAGTCACCTAACAGGAACCACTGATGCCTGTTTCCCATGATATCTTGTTAAATTAATTGTCTAAAACTTTTTCATCAATTACATTTACTAGGTTAAAACAAGCATGTACCTTCTATCTCCACCAAAGGTTCCTGAGTAAACTCCTGAAAGAATTTGTAGAAGAACTTACTGCAAGCAGCCAAAACAGCCTTGTGGGCCTTAAAATGGTGTCCTAGATAAAAAAAGAAAACAAAATCATACATAGTCACAAAAATCAAACACAAAACAACAAATTACAAAATTATATAAAGTAAAATAGATCTTTCTTCATAATATAATTATAAAACTATATAAATTACTGAACTCAAGTCAGAATATTCTTGGCAGCTCTCAACAAATTTTAATCTTAATTAGACAGGAAGTCCGATCTTTACCTCAAAGACATCATTAGGTCCGTTTTATAAAGGCCAGTTTACAAGACTTCAGGAGGTAAAGAGCCTCCTACCACTTAATTAAAGAGTGAAAGGCATATCCTATTCAGTTGAAAATGCTAAATATAAACACAACCCAAAAGGTTACACATCATTTGGAAAGAGAGAAGAAAAAGCCATAGAACAAACAGGAAGCTGGATATATTTGCTACGGGAAACATTTTTAAATGCCTAATATTTAGAAGCTCAATCTACAGCAGCCGTATAAGAAGAACAGCTTGCTTTGAGAGGCCTATTTTTACTAAATCGAAAAGATACCCAAGCTGGGTTTGCCTCCTAAGACTGGTAAAGACCCCATTTGATTTTGAGAGTTCCCAAAGTGGGTACCAGTGCTGCAAAGGAATCTCTCACATTCTCCCTCCCAGACCATCTGAGAAACCAGGAAGAATCAGCACTTCCCAAATGACTCCTGTGAGACACTCCTCAAAGCAGCTTATCAACAGACGGCTGTTAACCAAACATTTAGAGACATCCTCCCCACCCCCACACCATCATCTTGCACTCAAGTGTGCAATGGGAAAACTCAAAAGGCTGCAAGAAGTTAAAATGCGATGCTTATGCTGAAAGCGTGACTGGCCAACCAGCCTCCCACAGCATGGTCTATGTGAGTGAACAGTGACAAGCGCCCTCGGGTCCCAGCGCACACCCTCCTCAGGCTTCTGATGGGGAGTCCACAGAGGGCGGGTAAAAAAGGCAGGTGGAGGCAGGGGAGGTAAGAATCGAAGCCACAAATTCGCTCCTCTGCCCACCACCCTACCCACCGTCGACAATAAGAGTGATGTCAGTAAACCGGTCCTGCTCTCTCTGTTCATTCAATCGGTCCAGGATCATTTTATGATGTTCGGGGAACTCCTGAAGGCATTCCATCGTCTCTTCGGCCTCCATGGCCGTCGGGTTGCTCTACAAAAGAGGAGCATGATAATGTACACCCATGAGCTCGGGCTGAAGAACAAAACCCCGAAAAGAGAAAACAACAAAAACCAAAACCCCAGCAACGTGAACAGAAGGGGGAGGGTGAGGCGAGAGGAGAGGAAGGCGAGGGAAGAAAGAAAGGCGAGCCGGGGGCCGCCGCGCGTTGGGGGCCGGAGCCGCGGCCGCGGGACTCCGAGCCTGACCTAATTGGAGTCGGGAGACGCGAGCTGGAGCGGGGTGGGCACAGCGCCGGAGGCTCCGGGCGCCGGGGCGCGCAAGCCCAGCAGGGGAGGGGACCCGACAGCCGCAGCGGCTCTCTAACGGCCCGCCAAGCCCTCTGCCCGGCCCTGGCTCCCGCCGCCCCGGGACCCGGTCCGGCCCGCGGCCCACAACGACTCCCGGGTCGAGTCGCCTCTCCCTCCCCCGCCCCCCCTCTTCCCCCCCGCCCCAACCGGGCCGGCACTCACTCAGGGAAGGAGGAGCGGCCCGGGCCTGCGCGTCACTTACGTCGACGTCCTGCGTCACCGCGTCAGGCTCCGGCTGACGCAGAGGCCTACCCAGCGCAGACTGGAGGAGCCGGGCCCCGCCTCCCACTAGTGGCGGGGCGGAGCCAACCCAAGGGATTTGGCGCTCAGCGAGGGCGAGGCCGCGCGCCGGGAGGAAATCAGGCTGTGGAGGGACTGGGCCGGTTCAGGGCCTGGCTGTGCTCGGGGCGGGGATCCTAAGTCACCGCTCTTCCACCTTCCTCTCGCCCCGCCTGACTCCAGGTGTGAGCACTTCCGACCCTGCCCTCAGAATAAACTCGCAGCCTGTTCCTGCTCTGCTTTTATTCCGGGGCTCCTCCGGCTCCGCCCCGCCCCGCCCCCTTCCCTCCCTAGCCCTCGGTCGGCCCGCCTTACCTAGCTCGTGATCCTCCCTCTCTCCTCTCCGTCCCTCAAAGCCTTTCCTTCCTTGCTGTCCCCTGCCAGGGCGTAACTCGCCCCACACCTTTCCCTACCCCTAAACTGCGCCTCGCTCTCCATTTCCTCGCGAGTGCCCGGGCGCTCCCTCTGCTCGGGTCCGGCCTGCACACCTGCGCTCGCTCCGAGACCCAGGCGGCCGCGGCGCGGGCTGCGGAGGCCACGGGCGCGAGCACGTTCCGGCCGCCTGGGATCTTCCTCCCGGGTGCCCGCCCTCTCCGTGCTCGGCGAGGGGCACGTGTTCGCCAGGCTCAGGACCTGGATCTGCTCTGATTATTTACACATGATGCTATTACAGTACTACAGCTCTCCACTCCCAGCCTTCAGCGCTTGAGGAGGCCGGTGACCCATAATCAGCCTCACGTGACTGGGTCATTTATTCGTTCATCCGAAAAAATGATTTTTGATGATAAGGCGATGGCCGAGATTAACTTATTCTTTCATCTCCAAAGAAAAAGAGTGGGAAGGGAAGGATTCAAATAGCTATATGCAAGGGTGAATGTGATTATTTCAACAGACATTTATGGAGAGCCACCGCTGTGCTAGGTACTGTTTAAGAGACTGGGAAGTCCAGTGGTGATCAAGGCATTTGTCGTTTCTACCTTATGAATCTTAGTCTGATAGAGTAGTTAGACATTTTGAACAGGTAATTGACTGGGTGCTGACTGCGGAGTGTTATGAGATGTGAAGAACAAGGTAATGCGTGGGTTAAGGAAAGCTGGTGACCTATAAAAAGCAATTATGAAGTCTGAGTGTTCTTAGCCAAGGGTACAGCACATGCAGAGGCACCAAGATAATAGCATTCCTGGAACTAAAAGAATGTTTCTGGGACAGACCCACGGGGCCTTGAAAACAGTGTTAAAGATGTTAGATTTTCTTATAATTGCAAAGGGAAGCCTTGAAGGTTGAGCAGGATGTGACATGTAAGATTTACTTCTTATAGACATAATTCTAGCCCTGGTATGGAGAATGGATTAAATGGGAGAAGATGCAAGGAGTAGACACCAGTTGGGAGACGGTTAGTAATCTAAATGAAACCATGGTGGTAAGTGGGATTAGAGAACCGGATGGACTCTACAGATAGAATCAACATTGACTGGAAATCATGTCATAGGTACTAAATAAATAATGTTGGATGTATTCATGACAAGAGAGAAGAACACTCAAGGATGGCTCCTAGATTTCCAGCCTGAGCTGGTGGATTGTTGGTACTGTTTACCAAAATAGGGAATACAACTGGAGGAACTGGTTGGGGAGAGAGGATGGGGAGGGCAGGGGTAATTTTAAGGAGACAACTAAATGGAAATGATGTTAACAAGGCACTTTATATATGGATCTGTACAGAGCTTAGGGGAGAAAACTAACCTTAGAGCTTTGGGAATTTTTAGCATAAAGTGGATATTGAAACCATGGAAATAGGTGAGATTATTTAAGGACAAACTGCAGGGATGATAGACTAGCAGTTTGTAGGTTGAATTGACTGTTGGTGTTTTAATATTATCATCATCACTATTATTCACACAGTATTTTTTAAGATGAAGAAATCGCACATAGAAATAGGTTTTTTGGAAATTCCAGTATATAAGGGTACTTTTCTGTGCAACAGCAATTGGATTAAGCCAAATGGAGACTGCCGTCTCTATATGAGATTTGAGCTATTCAGTTCAGCACAGCCGCAATCACTCTCAAATGTCTTAGACTCAGCTTGCATCTTTCATTTTTACTTGCTTTGTTCCTAAAGCATTTAAGTTTGGACTCTTGGTCTATAGAGTCAGAATGGAAGAAGGTGTAGGACTTTATCCCTGAGAAGTATCAATGTTTATGGGTTGAGTAGGAAAGGAAGAACCTGCAAGGACAGTATGGCAGCTCGAGAAAGGAGGAAAAAAGAGAAGTATGACATCAAGGAGGTCAGTGTTCCAAAAGAGAGGGTGTGCTCAGCAATGCCAAATGCTGCCAAATGGGCAAGCTAAGCAAAGATTAGGAATTGTCCATTAGATTTAGCATCATAGATGTCTATAGTAGAAGACCTTAGCAAGAACAGTTTTAGTTAAGTTCTGTGGGAGGTGTGTGTGTCGGGGTGAGAAGTCCATATCCAAGTAGGTTTAGGAGTAATTAGGAAAAGAAATTGAGATGACAATGATAGAACGCTCATTAAAAATGAGAGAGGAGAGAAAGGAGTACCTGTAGAGGGTGATGGGTCAAGCCAGTTTTGGTTTTTGTGTTTTAGGATGGGAGAGACTTAAGCTATTTAAATGCTGATGAGGAAGGATCCATCAGAGGAAGAAGATAAAAATACAGCAGGAAAAGGGGTTAATTGTGCAAGAGAAGAAGAGACTGGAGAAAATGAAGTTGAGAGGATAGGTGAATGAATCAGCCTTAGGACAAAGGACATCTCTACTATTATCACTGAAAGAATTAATGGATTAGATGCTCTTAGGAGTATAGATTTACTTTCAAGAAGTTGAGAAAATTCTTATCTAACTGAAAAGTTCTGTTTTCTCCATTAAATAAGGGACGAGGTTATCTACTAAAAGCCAAGATTAGGAGAAGGGTGTATGTGTGTTGGGGAGGAGAAGTTTGAGACTAGAAGATGTATTAGTTATTTAAGGATGTATAAGAAAGTGCCCCAAAATGTAGTGGCTTACAACAATATTATTATTTCACAGTTCCCATGGGTCAGGGTGTGGGACCTGAGTTTTCACCATCTCTCACAAGGTTCCAATCAAGATATCAGCTGAGGCTACTATCATCTCAAGACTTAGCTGGGGAAGGATCTGCTTCCAAGGTCACTTAAGTGGTTGTTGACAGAATTCAGTTCTTCCTGGGCTACTAGACTGAAGACTTCAGTTCTTTGCAAAGCCTTCCTCCATTTGGGGCTCACCATAGTGACTGACAGCTGGATTCCATCAGACAAGAGACAGTAAGCAAGACAGAAGCCAAGTCCTTTTGTAACCTAATCTCAGAAGTGACATTCCATCACTTTTGCTGTATCCTATTTGTTAGAAGCAAGTCGCCAGGTACAGCTCACAAAGGAAGTAATTACACAATGGCACAAATACTAGGAGGCATGATCATTGGGAGCAATCTTAGAAACTGCCTACCACAGAATGGAATGGAAAAGATTTGAAATAGATCTTGAATGTAGTAATATCACAGTAGCATCAACAGGATCTGGTAGAAGTGGGTAACCAGGAATTTATACGATAGCAGGTCTGCTGGGCATTGTGATTTCCTCCCGAAGCATTCATTAATCAGGTACCTACAAGGATAGGTGATGTAAGGATGAAGTTAGTGTTAAAACACAGTTCTCTGTGGTGCAGATTTTGTGTCAGTTAATTATAACCAGGTTTATAGATGTTCTCTGGAGTTAAAATGGCTTCTTCAAACTTAAGGTGAATTGACAAATAGTTCCAGCTGCCTTAGTGGTGTCCCTTTATATGTGTCAAGGCCACATTGGAAAGGAGATAGAATGGTGGTTAAGAGTTTGGTTTGAAAGATAGCCTGGGTTGAAGTCTTGGTTCAAGTTAATAGCTGGGTGACTTTGGGTAAGTTAACTTCATTAAACTTCCGTCTCTTCACCTTTAAAATACGTTGTCGTGTGGGGCCGGCCCAGTGGCGGCATAGTAGTTAAATTCCCGGGCGCAGACCTGCACACCACTCATCAAGCCATGCTGTGGCCACGTCCCACATACAAAATAGAGTAAGACTGGCACAAATGTTAGCTCAGTGACAATCTTCCTCAAACAAAAAGAGGAGGATTGGCAACAGATGTTAGCTCAAGGCCAATCTTCCTCACCACCACCACCAAAAAATGTAGAAAGCAAATCAGATAATACATGAGAAGCACTCTGATGAATACCTGGTGTGTAGCGAGCTTTCAGTAAATGGTCTTCATTGTCATGCTCCGGTATAAGGTTTATATTCTATCTCCTATCTGCTATAATTTTTGAAAAGATATTTATGGGTCAACAAATGAGGTTTTCTTTGGGACTGCCCAAAGGAACTGAAAATTCAGGATGTCACCAATGAACCTACAGATACAGCAAGCTGAAAAAAGGATTATGACAAGTCTAGAGTTTTTGGAGGGGGACACTATCTTACATATGCCACAAATAAGACACTGACAAAAATATTAGGGTTATTTCCTCCTTTTCTTCCTTCAGGCAACATCCTAGTTCAGGACTGTAGTGTGTACTTGAGGATGGTTACTTAGTTGCTTCCCAGCTTGTAGATAGTGACCTTTACGCATAGAGTAGTCAAACTCGAATGCTGGCTTGGAAACTCCAAATTAGGGAGGGTACTCAATATTCTTGTAGAGCTGGGGAAGAAGGCAGGACAGTGGCCAGGTAGGAAAAATCACAGAAGATAGCTGGCTAAGCAGGGAATGACACACCAGGACCAGAAGTTCTTCTTTTCAGTGTCATTGTCCCAAATGGCTGCCAAATCTTGAGTGTTCAAGTTCAACTCTGGTCCCATCTTGATATAACAACAATATGAAATATAATAACATCCAGGTGGGGAAATGATTACTTTTCTCCTGGAAGTTGGTGAAACTCTGGAATGTTGTGATTGTCAAAGGGTCCTTAAGATCCAAGGCTGCTGCTTTAATTTTTAAATTTTTATTGCCAACATGGAACTCACTGGACCCTCCTTGGTTTCTCTGTGGATCTTCCTCTTTTCCTTGATCTCTTAAGATTGGAGTGCCCCAGTCTATTACTTTTAATGTCACTCTAATATATTTGGGATTAAATCTATATTAACATTTGTTTTCTATTCATCTTACTGTTCTGTGTTACTTCTCTCTCCTTTCTGGCTTTATTTTGGATTTTTAAAAAATTATTATTCC